AAGAGGCAGGTGGGCAGCCAGGTCATTGAATGAGCAGAGGAAGGTCACCAAGTAAGGAGTGGCCTGGCTATGGGGGCCCTGAAGTAAATGGGTGCAGAGCATGTGGGGCAGCTCCATTCCCCACTTGTCGCACCTCACCTCATGGTGGCAGCACTGGTGCAATGTGCACTGTCCTGCCCGTTGCCACTACAAGCAAACAGGCAAGTGGGCAGGCTCCTGGTGGACAAGGCTGGTGCTGGTGCTGTCACTGCACAGTGAGGCAGGTGGTGGGGTGTGGGTGGCTTGCCTACAGGGGCCCTGAGGTAAGCAGGTGTTGGGCCTGTAGGACAGCCCCACCTCCCCACCTGCCTTGCCTCAACTTGTGGTGGCAGCACTGGTGCGATGTGTGCTCTCCTGCTTCGTTGCAGCAGCAAGCAACCAGATGGTGGGACAGAGTGGGCAGGCTCTTAACTAGAGCTTATTTTTGGGGTAGGGATTATATAAGGTGCACGTGTAAAAATCATGCTAGTGCTTATTTTCTGGTTGGGCTTTATTTTTGGGAAAACACAGTTGTACTTGCAGTACACAGTGTTGTCGTATATACAGGCTAATGATCAAAAGGAGGGGATGGGAACAACTGCATTAAATAACTATGTGCTTTCAAATATATATTATATTGCTTAATATATTTCCAAAGTTACTTTTGCTGTAACTTTGGAAATATAACTTTCTGAGCACCTTTAAAAGAGAAGGTATATCTTATCCTATACTTTTTAAAGGGCCAATATAACTAGATCTAGTAGTCACCATCTTCAATTCATTTTGAGTTACTGCTCGGATTGACCACTCTGTATACATTTTTTTTATTTTAGAATTACCATATCTGTTCTACAAAACCCCATATAATCATTAGATGGCAGAAGAGTTACAGAAAATGCTTAATTCTTTCTGCCCTTAAAGTAACGTTGGAAATAAAATCTGGTCTGGTTCCAAGCTGGGAAAAAGATCCTGGAAAAAAATGAATTGGAAGCAGGCTGCAGGAAAGGAGGTCTCCATTTATTTAGGAATCAGGAGTGAAGTGACATAGCAATTGGTTCTGAGACAGCTGACAACCTGGTGGATGGACTTTTATATTATTTTGGGGCTGTATTATTAAGATTTCCAGGCTTGTTGGGCAATAATTTCAAGTGTGTGTTTTTGGTTATTTTAATTGTGGTGGCTTGGTTTCTATTGTGGCTGGGAGGTCATGCTCTGTCCTTCAGGTCAGGTGGGGGAGGGCAGATTTTAGGTGTCTTTTGTTTCTCCACTTTTTAATCTGATCAATTCCAGCCTTCTGTGGAGGCTGTAGCTGAAGGCATTTTGTTTATGAATGGAATAGTTTGTAAAACTAAATATCCATTCACAGAGGCCGGTCGCTTGAGTGATTTTACTTCAGGGAAGCCTTTTCTCTTCTAGGGATGGAGGGGACATTATTTTGCTAATATGGGGGCTTTCTTATAGTCTTATATTAAAAGAGGGGATTCTCCCTACAGTAGTTTGATCAAATTTGAGTTTGGATACTTTGTGTTTACTCAATAAACTATAAGGCATGACTTTGGGTAGTGTGCAAACCTACTGTTAGAATGAGTGCATGTCATACTAAGCCATAATCCAGTTTACCATACTATGGTTTAATTTGTGTGTGAACTCAGCCTAGAAACCAGGACTCTGTGAGTTCTAGTACAGCCTTAGACATGAAAGCCAGCTGGGTGACTATGGCCTATCAGTCTCTTTCAACCCAACACACCTCACAGGGTTGTTGATATGGGGAAGATAGGAGGCGGAAGCTGTCTTGAGTTACTTATAAAAATTAATAAAGGTGGGATAAAAATATAATAAATGAATAAACAGTTGCTATTTACTCTGAGCTCCATAAATCAAGCTTTGCTATCCAATTTTGGAAACTCATACAATTATTTTTAAACAAATATTGAGTTTGTTATTTGATTGTTGCTAAAACTTCACCTTAGATTTACTCTTGGATTTGCCTTGTGACTTATTAGTCTTTCAAAACTAAACATGCTTCCCCATCATTTTTGTTTGGCAAAAATGGCACCTACAGGGATGGTGAGTGGTATCAAAATGGCAGTGGTGAATTGGGTGACCCTTTCAACATGTGCATTACATCAGCTAATAGCTCCCACCATTTTGACTTTGTCAAAAGCCTCTGCAGATAATCCTAATAATAATTATTAATTTCATTCTTTCCCAATTCCAGAGATTCTTTTCCTATTTTATTCTCACAACAATCCTATGAAGTAGTTTAGGTTCATGGATTGATTTGTGCACCTGCAAAAGCCATTACATAGTTTGTATGATTTCAGCTTAGAATGCTGTATAAACTCAGCCACAATAGTTCATCAATTTATGGGTTTAATACAATGCAGGGATCCAGTCAGCTTGGCCAGATCAAGTATAATGCATAGATCCAGTCAGCTGATGGCCAGATCATTAAATTCATACATGAAATGTGCCTTAATATCCTGACTCATTCTTTAAAATCTCTTTAGAGAAACATGAGACTCTAGAAAGGGTGCAGAGCAGAGCAAACAAAGATGATTAGGAGGCTGGAAGCTAAAACCAGTGCTTTTTTTGTCATAGAACTCACTGGAAGGGAGTTCCGGCACCTTTTTTTGATGGATTTTCCAAGTTTTAAAAGTAACTTTTGAAAATTTAATGTGTAGCGAAGCTGTCTGAGAGTGTTTGCAGGAGCTTGGTTGGGAAGGGAGAGATTGGGACAGCTGCTGCTGGCTTTGGGTGTGGCCGGCGTGGCTGGAGAAAAAGATAGAAAAGGGAAGGAAAGGAAAGGCCCGGGGCTGCTGCTGTTGCTGTTGCAGTTTGTCAGGTGAAGGTAAAGGGACTGGAAGTTTTATTTGTTTTCTTCGTAAGAAGGATATTTTAAACAGAGGCTAGAGAGAGGGAAAGAGAGGAGTTTTATTGCTTCCTTCGTAAGGAGGATATCTCAAATGGAGACCAGAGATTATGTAGAAAGGAGTTGGCTGAGGCTCCTAGCCTCAGATTTTAACAATAAAGATAAGGGGGGAGGGGGGAAGGGCTTTGATGCTGAAACCTGACTGAAGAAGAAGCCACAGAAGGAGAGGAGAGATTGCTGGTGGCTATTGTTGCTGCAAAGCCTGGAGGCTATTTGGACTGGGACTATTGCTGTTGGTACAGGTTTTAGACATTGTGGGAAAGTTGCCCTGGGGGACAAGTTATTGCTACAGCACACTGACTGTTGTTGTTTCTACTACTGTCTGGAGCCGGGGTTTTCCTCCATGCCACTTGACTCTGAACGATCGTTGAGGAATCTTTTATTCCTGCTGGTATGCCGGCCTTGGGCTGTTGGATAGCATTGACTATCGTGGCTGGTTATTTTCATTCCTGGAAGCCCTTCCCTGACGACAAGAGCCGGCTACCTACTAACTCTGCATGAGCTCCGGCTGGAGGAGACATCTTATCAACCCCTAAAGAACACTACTGCAGGGCTTGACACAGGGGGCTGGGGCTGGGAGGGCCTAGTTTCTGGCGGCCTCTGAGGAGGTAACGCTACAAATGTTTGGTCCACGTGGACTTGAATTGCCCTGTTGAGCATAGCAGGTCAGCGGCAAAATCATTAAAACAGTGCATGCAGGCTGCTTGTGTGTCAAGTCCAATGCATGCATACTTCATCCGGCTGTTCGGCTTGTGGCACTGCTCGGCTTGTGATTGGTTGTGTGGTCATGCTCTGAGTGCTTACTGCGGGCGGCGACCGTTATGTTTCATTACACAACTGACATGTGTGGGTGTGTGTACAGTGATTGACTATGTGCAAGAGGTAAATAAAAGATTAACAAGATGTGAGTTCCGGCACCTTTTTTCTTACAAAAAAAGTACTGGCTAAAACATATGAAGAATGGTTGCAGGAATTGTGTATGTCTATTTTAATGAAAAGAAGGACGAGGGGTGACATGATAGCAGTGTTCCAATATCTCAGGGGCTGCCACAAAGAAGAGGGAGTCAGAGCTACTGTATTCTCCAAAGCACCAGAAAGCAGGACAAGAAGCAATGGATGGAAAATAAACGAGAGAATCAATCTAGAACTAAGGAGAAATTTCCTGAGAATTAGAACAATTAATCGGTAGAATGACTTGCTCCAGAAGTTGTGGATGTTCCGTCTCTGGAAGCATTTAAGAAGAGATTGGTCAGATACTTTCTCAGTAGCTTTCTCTTCTTTTCCAGACTACAGTTGCAAAACAAATGGGAGTTAAGTAATAAACAATTGCCCCCAAAAAAGAATGAATGTCAAATTGGAAAAGACAATTGATGTGATAGTGTAGGAGAAAATATAATCCATTCACATATCTTTCTGAAAGAAAGCCAAACCAAAATGTGGCAGTAAACAGTAAACAGTTCCTTATAATTTACAACTGAACTGATTCAATCGCATGTTCTTATTAGTAGCAGTATTTTCTCATACACACACTCAAATGAAGGTGGCGAATCATATCTAATACTCCATGTCTCCTATGGCATGTGGAGATCTTGAAATGACTTAGTTGTTAAAAGTGACTGGGTAAAAAAGAAATAGTTAAACAAATTGATAAAATTTCTGGCTTTATTTTATGTTACAGGCCAGGGATAATTCTGCTGGGAAATGAACTATTTGGCAAAGCATAAGCCGAAGTTACTTAATGATTTATTATTAAAAGCTCGACCACAAATGGCCTGAGGTGGTAGAACAAAGCACCTCCAAAATTAGCACTACATTATTATATTCATGTAGTGGCATTTAATTATCTATTGCTTAGTTTTATATTCTCCTTTTTTCTAAGCACTCAGGGTGGTTTATGTAGAAAGCCTTTTATTTTTTATCCCTGTAAAACAGTTCCAGAAGGTTGCTTGGGTTAACTGCCAGCCGGCAATTTTCCAGGCTGAGGATGGGCTTGAAGTTGAATAACACCACTAGTAGCAAAATTAATTCAAACTTCCTGTCAAAAGATGACCCTCTCAAAAGAAGGGATTTATGAACCGGGTCATGAACAAATCACATTCAAATGATCTCAAAACTCAGGAGGTATGGACCTTTCTTGCAGCCTTATTCTTGGGTTGGTGTGGTCGAAAGAAGTTGGGGCTGCAGGTATCAGAACTCTCAACTAGCTAGATGGGAATTACAGAGGCGGTGATTCTGGATCTCTGCTTTCAGAAAGAAGATGTCACTGAGTTCCCTCTCCTTGGGCTGAAACTGGTAGTCAGCTAAACATTTACCCCACTGCTTATGTGGACCTGGATACTAAGTGGAGTCAGTCAGGTTTTGGATGTTAAGATATCCAATAAATTGTAGAGTTCTAAGCTAGACTACCAAATTAGAGGCCATGGAAACTATGGAAATCCAATTCAAATAAAGGACATTTTAAATAATCTTTAATTCCATTGAAGAAATGGAGTTGATTTTCCTTCACTTATATCTGACCATTATTTAAGCCATACCCTTTAGCAGCAAGAGATGCAGCCTCATGCTATTCAGATTGTTTTGGATCCAACTCTAGTGTTCTTAGGCATGGCAACTAAGGCTGATGCAGACAAGAGCACAAAACAGGTGATTGTCAGTTCCTCCCCTAGCTATTTAGTTTTAACTGTGATTGGATTGCAGTCTAAATCACAAGCATATTCCTGGGGGAGGGGAATCCTCCTCCACCACTTTTTTATGCATGCTATTTTAAATGCGCGCGCATCTCTTGCTGTTGTTATGAACCCGTCTTGCAAAAGGTGTTTTGCTTTAGCTGTCAAACTTATAACGGCCTCCCTTCTCTACCTTCCTCCTGTTTTCCTCCTGTTGCCCATTGATGGTGCATTGGCACACAGCGGCTGCTCGGAATCTGCAGCGACTCCATGTGGTCGTGAGGGGGAATACCTCTCGCTTTCTCTTTTATGCAAGCGCGGGTGTCTCTCCCTGCCTGCCTGCTCCTCCTCACAAAAGACTTGGACGAATTCCTTTCTCCGGGTTTTCAAGCCATCTTTTAAAAATCCATCCCGCTCTCTCGCGTTGAAAACGAGCTGTATCGGGAAGCGAGAGGCGGGAGACAGGAGGAAGCTTGCAGGGAGCAGGAAAAAGAGGGACGGAAGGAGCGATTAGGGAAGCAACCGATAAACGGCAGCGAAGGTGGCCGGGGACGCGGCGCAGCGGTCGTTTTCCAAAAGCGAAAGGATTCAGACGGCGAAGAAGATCACCATGGGGGATAGCGCGTCTTGCCGTTAGCAAGTGAAGGGATTGGGAGAGGAGAAGGCGGCAGAAGCAGCCCCTGATCCCGCAACCGGGTTGCAAAGAGCACGGAGACCGGAGCTCGCGGCTTGAAAGGGTGGCTATTGGGCTGGGAAGGGAGAAACGGCGACATCCACACAGAGTGTGACGCCCCAGGTTTTGGTCATGCCCTTCGCCAAGAGGATCGTGAAGCCCCAGAGGCTGTGTCGGCGGCAGCATATTGCCTCGGTGTTAGACGAGAACTCCGGCTTCGAGCTTCCTCAGCCGGGAAGCTACCGAGAAGAACCCGGGGAGGCGATGGACGAACCGGAGGAAGAGGTTCCGGCTGGGCTGGCTGCCGCGCTGACCGCCGAAGGGAAGGAGAACCAGGAGGCGGCGGCGCTGATGCTTTTGGATCTGTGCTCAGTCAGCAATGTTGCTCTCTCGCGGATCCTCCGGCAGCTCTCCGATGTGGCCAAGCACGCCTGCACCCTCTTCCAAGAAATCGAGAGCGAGATCCAGCTCACTCACCGCAGGGTCCAAGCGCTGCACAGCCGGATTGGCGGCGTCCAAAGCATTTTACACAGTTTGGATCCGAAGCAGGAGGCAGTGCGTAAGTGGAAGACGCCTTCCTCTCCCTTCCTTCCCCTTGAGGCGACCTCGGCGCTGGCTTACCTTAACCTTCGCTCTCTTTCGTATGGCTCTTAAGGGGAATAGGGCGCCAGGGAGGCAATCTGTGGATGGCTCTTGGCTTTCTTTTTTCCTTCAATTTTTCGGAGTGGGGAGAGGAAGCGAGATTTGCTCTGATGGGTGTGATGCTGGTGCCAAGTGAGGGAGCAAAAGGGGCCGCGGAAGATAAAATGGTGCTGCTTGGGCATCTCGGGGAGGTGTGGCCCTGAATCCCTGAACGCGGCTATTCCCGATATCTCCCCCCGCCGCCGCCCTTCTTTTTGCAGGAAAAGGATGCAGCTTCGGCGGACAAAAGTTTTCCCCTCTGCGGGAAGTGTAGATGGGACAGATTCGCCGACGTGGGGGGTAAACGAAGTAGAAGGTTCTGGGGCCGAGATGCGGAAACTTGATTGGGATGTGCACGCGCTTTTGATTTGAACGACCCATTTCTGTCAAAAGGGCTTTAGGGTTGTTTTGGTTTCCCGAGTGATTGCCAGAGAAAACTCGGTGAGCGGCATGAAGATGAACCGCGGTTCGCCTTTCAGGCTTCCCGCAACCCCTCTCCCACCTGCCTCGAGTCCGCATCCTCGAGCTCTCGGGTCCACTCGGGAAGAAGAACGAGTGGTTTCCCCCGTGGAAAACTGCGCGGCGATGCGCGGGAGACGCCTAACGTGCTGGGAGGGGATCAGTCGTTGATCTCATGCGGAAGAAGGTGAAGCGTGGGGGGCGGGGAGAGGAGACAGGAGTCCCCGACTACAGCTGCAGGAAAAGGAACGGGGGGGGGGGGCATCGGGGACAACCTGCCTTCCGCCACCCAAGACTTACGGCGATCTGCCTGACCCATTTTTCCTCGGCTGAGACTGGTGAGTGGGCACTTAGTGCATGCGTGAGAGAGGCGTGCGGCGCAAGAAGGGGGTCCGCCCCCTCCCTCCTCTGAACCGACAAGGTGACCATTCTGCAGTGATAACAGACGAGCCTCCGTGGTGTGCCGCTTCACAGAAAAAAGGGGTGGGGATAGTGTAAACTGAGGATAGTGAAGCATCTAAAAGAGGGCGCGGGGAAAGAAGGAAAGCGTTTTAGCGCAGATTTTCCTAGCCTCTACCTGCAAATGTGCTGGGATTCCTAAACCCAAACCAGCACGCCCAGTCTCTGGAGGACATTGAGTTCCCCAGCCCTTTTTGGTGGCCACTGTAAGTCGCATTGTAAGTGGTCATCCGCCACTCATCTAGTCCATTACGGAATTCTGCACTGCTTTAAATGGGACCAGTAGGATATAATCTGAAGGGATATGCAGTATTCAAAAACAGACTATAAATAAGCAAATAAATGTTAGCTTTGGTTGGGAAAATGTCAGATGGATGGGCAGGACTGGATGGCTAGAATCTATAGATCACACACTCAGGAGTATAATATAAAAAATATTTAGGTTGTCTTAATTTCAGAGTCTGCTTTCCTATTGGTGAGGGGAGGCACCAGTTTGAGGAAGGATGGAAGGGTTTTCCTCTTCAGCAATATCAGCCTTCCCTAACATAATGTTTCTGGATATAAAAGAAAGGAACATGATTTTATTAGTTGGAGAATAGGAAAATTATTGGCCAACACATTTAGAAGCATTAGATTGGGGAAGTAATATTTGGGGTTTCATGGATATGTCCTTCTTGCATGTAGTTCTCTCTCTTTGGTTTCTCAATGAAGGATGTTTATCCATCAGATCTACACCCCCCAAGTTTATCCTTTGAAATTCTCAACTAATTTATGGTTAGTAGTCACCTAGAACAGATCATCCACTGATTTGGGATGACTGACTATTGCTTAAACGAGTAAACACTGAGATTGGAATAGTCTTTATGAAGCTAGTGTTCTTCAGATATATCAAACCACATCTTTCAGTATTTTTAGCCAACTGGAGTTACAGTCTAGCATATTTGAAAAATGGGGAAAACTAGATTAGAACCTCAAGCTCTGTGGTTGAATTCTAGATTAAAAAAGCATTACAAATAACAATGTTGGATCTATGAACTTTATGGTATTTCCCATCTTAGTCTTTGATTGTATTTATGTAAAACAAGCCATTATGATTCTCTACCTGCTTACTTTCCTTGTCTCCTTTCAAAGAATTTGGTCCTTTGAGTGCCATAAATATATAGTAAAGGTATTAAATATTTTCTGCTGAAAGTATCTACCATGTCTGCAAAACCACAAAGGGAATTATTACTATACCTGTTCGTTATGGAAGGAGCTGTGATTCAGTAATAGAGGATTTGCTTCTCAGGTTAATTAGTTCTTGACATTTCTGAGAAGCAGGTTTGGTTCATTTCTACAATTTCTAGAAATACTGCCTCTCTGACCTGGAAAAGGTGAATTTTATTTATTCCTCACATTTGTAGAGGTGCATATCTTATAAAAGGTGACTGTCTTATCTGGCATGTGGCTGTTTATGCAAATATCTAGATTTGGATACTAAAGTTATCTTTTTGGTGATTTAACTATGTGATTCAAAAGGCATATTCTGAAGACATGAGATGTGGTGAACTTGGTAAGTGGTTTTAGGCTACTTAGCATCTGGATGATAGGTAGGTTGGAAATCCCACATGTGTTATTTGTTTATTTTATTATAAAGCTTACAACAGCAAGCATTCTATAAACTAACACCATGGAGAAAATGTGGGACATAGACACATTAAACTCAATTTCAGGAAGAATTTGACAGCAGTTTTTAATGGAAAGTTTATATTTAAAGATGGAATGAATAATCCAGTGTGATGTTGTAGTGAAGATCTATATTAGGAAGGCCTTGGTTCAAGTCCAACTTCAACTACAGTATTTCTCTGGGTAATTTTGCACCCATCTTATTTTCAGCTCAAAAGATTACCAAAGTGTTAAAAAAAGATTGGAGGAAAAAGTGCTATGCATGCTATCTTGAATTCCTTAAGGAAAGGTGGAATACAAATCTAACAATGGCCTGAAAGTTAACATCTGCCGGAAAGGACCATTTTGAAGATCCCTTGATCTCAGAGGCCTATCTTTTTTAGATGCATAGAAGGCTCTTCTTAGTATTGTCGTCTTTGATTTATTTATTCTTACACCCGTCATTTCTCCAAACATTTTAATCTTCCTCATAACATGTTCAATGTTCTCTAGCAGGTTTTGCACAATCAGTACCAAATCATTGGCAAATGCACATAATTTGTAATTATGCAATTTAATTTGTAATCCTTTTGCTCTGTTATCCTGTCTAATATCTCTATTTAACAGTTCCAATACTAGAATAAATAATAAAGGGGATAAAGGACACTCCTGTCTTGTTCCCTTCTGGATTTCACATGGTTTTGTAAAGTCTCCATTCACCATGATTCAAGCTTTCTGGAGTGTATAGATCAGGGGTGTCAAACTTGCAACATCATGTGATGTGTAGTGACGTGTCACAACTTTTTTCCATTGCCGGCAATGGGGTGGGTATGACGCACCCGCCCATGGGCCAACAGTTTGACACCGCTGGTATAGATGGACTTCAAACCCTGTATAAAGCCCAATACAAAATTCATCTTTTCCACTACTTTAAACATAGAGGCCCAGTTCAAGTTGTCAAAAGCTTTTTCTGCATCCAGAAAAACTAATGCAACCTGTTTGTCGCTACATTGTTGTAAATATTCAATTATATTCAGAATTACTCTTACATTATCTTTTAGTTGTCTTTTAGGAAAGAAACCACACTGGTCTTCATCTATATAATTCTATAAAATTGTTTAAAGTCTTTCAGCTAAAATAGATGTAAAGAGTTTATAGTCATTATTAAGGAGAGAAATTGACCTATAGTTCTTCATGGAAGTTAAATCTAATCCATCTTTGGGTATTAAAGAAATGTAGGCATCCTTCCAAGAGTCTAGTGTAAGGTTCCCTTGTAAGATAGAATTCATTAAGTCCTTCATTGAAGGCAAACGAGGTCCAGGCAGAAGAAGAACATCGTGGCTTCAAAATCTAAGGGACTGGTTTGGACAAAACTCAGCAGCACTTTTTCGTGCGACTGCTGATAAAAACAGGATCGCCAACATGATTGCCAACGTCCGATAACAGATGTGGCACAAAAAGAAGAAGAAGTCCTTCATTGGAAGAAGTAGTTTTTATAGAATCCACTCAGTAGGCCTCTGGTTCCAGAGCTTTGCATTTTAATTGCTTCTATTATTTCAAAAGTTGTTGTTGGACTATTCAAAATTTGCTTGTAGTTTTCCGATAGTTTAGGAAGATTTTTAGTTGTTACATATTCCTCCATAGTATCTAAAGATATTTCTTGTTCTTTGTATAAATTGGTATAATAATTCCAAAAAAGTCTTTGAATGTTTTTGTTATTCATATAGATTTTATTCCCCTCTTGAAGCTTGGTTATCATCTTCTTTTCTATTTTCTTAATTTGTATGCCAGCCATCTCTTTTGTTTATTTGCATGTTCAAAAAAGTGTTGTTTTGTATATTTAAGTTCCTTTTCAACATCTGAGTCAATCAAGAAATTTGTTGTTGCAATAATTTTAGTTGATTAAGTATATTAGGAACTTCTGGTAAATTCTGGAGTTCCCTCTCCTTCAATTTAATTTCTTGTAGCAGATTTTGGATTTTTTGGTCCATCTTCCTCTTAATTGCTATAGTGTATTGTATAAAATGTCCTCATATTACAACCTTATCCCAAACTGTTGTCAAATTGGTTCATTACCTAAATTATTATTAAAATAGTCTTGAAGTACAATCTGTGGTCTCTACAAAACAGACTCATTTAATCTCTATTTAAAAGACTGAAGACCAAATTTAAGATGTAAAGACATTGGATTATGGTCAGAAAAAGGTTTTGGAAGAATAATAGCTTTAGTTGTTTTGTGAAGCAGATTTTTGTATCCAAATCATATCAATTCTAGAAAAGGATTTGTGTCTCTCTGAAAAGAAGATAAAGTCTTTT